CGCTCAACCACCAGATCTTAATATCTCCTTAACCTGTTCTTTGGATCGTATCGTCATTTCACATGTATTGTATTGGACGAATGTTTATAATATATTCTATTCAGGCAACACATTGCATACTAGTAAGGGAGCGCGGCGTTTCTGATCTAACTAGATGTGTCGGAGACAAACTCGCGCAGCTCGAAGGTTTTGTTGGACAACAGGAGCTGAGCTTCGAACATGGGGTTGAACTCGATTTGTTGTTTAAGCCACTCTTCATTGAACAAGCTACGCGGAAGTTTCGTTGGTGGCTCTCTGTCTGATACCTGTTCAGTCAAGTACCGCTCGTATTCAAGATTGTGCCCCGGCGGCAAGACTTTTTCGCCTTGGTCATCAAGCCAATGAAGATGCTTCGCAATTTCGGGATGGCGCCAGCGGAGAACCGTGGTGAGAAAAACGTTTTTTTGCTGATTACCATTGGGCCGGTTACCATCCTCGTCGTCCGACATGCCGCCGACGCCCAAAAGTTCCACGAGCTTCTGGTAAAACGCGCAGAACGCCTGAGTGTCGGTTCGTCCCGCGTTTACTTCCGAATAATATAGGCGCAACGCGATTTTCAAGCGCCTGCTCCACTTCGAGGCCCGACGCGATCTCAATTTGTTTTTCGCTTTACTAGCACGCGTCTTTTCGTCGTGACGGGCCGTTGCTGCTGCCTCGGTCTCGCCGGAACGAGGCTGCGCGACTATTGGAGGCAGTGACGGTGCTTCTGAGAATGTTGACGAAAAGAGCTTTGATGTACGAAACTTCGACCTGAGGAAGGAACATTTGGAGCTTGGGGCTTTCGCTCCTTTCGGTTTGTAACTGGGCCGCAGCCGTATTGAGGAGGATATTATTCCAGATGGACTTCTCGAAACGACGGCCGATATACCACTTAAACTCCCCAGGAGGTGGCGTGCCGGTGGGCTCAACTGTCGTGAACCATGAAGGGTGATGGATCGGCAAATCTTCAATGGTGTGGGTTTCCTCGCCGCTAAACGGACCTATGTTGTCCTTCCAGCGCAATCGAGCAGTCGCCTGCAGCCCATCAGTGGCCAGGATGTCAAGCAAATGGTTGCGTACCATCCAAGCGTTGTGTTCCCGTTGAGAGATCGAATTCAGAGTTGATTTAATATTGAAGCGGTGGGGCGCGACTCTTCTTGTCATCATGTTTGGGTCTCCATGGCCATCGGTAATGCGAGCGACAAAGCCCCGCGTTATGAGAACATCAGCGAGGTGCATCGAGGTCGGCTCGCGTCATAGTTGTTGGAGGCTGCTGATTGACTGGCGCTGGATTGGTCGGTATCGACGGACCAACTGGAATGGAGATTCCCTGCGCCGGCGTGCTTTGAATGGCATTGTTTTGACGTCGTATTCTGGTGTCGCGGGAAACGAAACCCGGCATACTAGGGTCTATCTCGTACACCGTTGAGTTCTGTTGGCCTCGCGGCCCATACATCAGGGACATCATAATGCCTCGTTGAGAAGCCTGCACCTATAGCGCCAATGACTCAGTGAGTTTACGTCCCAAGGCTGTAATCCTGCTTACTGCCTGTCGAGCGGCGTCTGCCTTTCGGGCTTGAAAGGCTGCCTGTTCCTCGCTATTCTTTCGGACCTGTTCCTCCACCTCCTTCATACGCTGAGTCAATAGCAGCTGTTGCGCATCCAATTGCTGAGTTATATGTATGAGACCCAAGAACTCAGTTCAAGAACGGAGAACCTACAGCTTGTTCGGCACTGATCTGCTCCTTGTGCTGAGTAACACCCTTGAAACAGAGTTAGCGGTAATCCAAGGATGTGACATGAACGTACATCCCAAATCGCCTGAAGTGCTGCTTCAGAATCTTCCATCCGTCGCGCGATCTCCTCTTCGCTTTGCATAACGACGTCATCGTCGAGGGGGGAAGCCATAGCGATAGAGGATACTGGTGGTTAGAAAGAGAAGGTGAGGTTGTCAAATGATTCATAGCTTTTTGTCCTTTCTTTGTCCTTTGAACGACCTGCACGCAGGGTTCTGACACGAGGTCGCGACACGCAGCTATCTGTGACACGAAAGGTGATGACGTCGATGGATGATGGGCTGGGCCTGGAATGGACGACATTTCACAGTCCTCCCAAGTTGGACCTCTGCAGCATACGACGCTTGGCAGAGGTGAGCAGAATGTCGATACTTGGTGAGTCGACGAAGATATTCGTCATCAAACTCTGGATTTGGCGTGAGCCCTCCGTGGCTAATTTGATGCAGATTATCGACAACGAGACGTCTCGAATTGAAGATATTCATGCAGGGACTTCCACGCGTCCACGCGCTCGCAGCAGGAATTACGGGACGTGGCAACCAAGGGACTACCGAAGTGTCTGTATGACCAGCGTTGGCTTCAGTCTCGCACTGTCAAGCAATTAAGAGAGCTTGAAGTTTCCCGTTGTTTGTCGCGGCAACTGATCGTATGACTTGAATTATCAGTTACTTGATGCTCTTGTAAGATAAACGAAGTGATTTACGGATAGCGGGTAGTGAGTGAGAGCGAGTGACTGAGCTCCAAAAATGGTTTGAGGCAGTAAGAGCTCAGCAGCGAAGACGATTGTGTCACGGTTGACTCCAGTTCCAGGCCATCGCAGATAAGACTGTGCCGCTGTATGCAGCTGGCTCCAGTCTTATGGATCTTGAAGGTTCAAGTCAAGTTCAGGTATCGCCGTCGGCGTCACTACTATCAGCGTGTCACGGCCATGATGTGACACGCGCCGACATTCTTTTCCCAAACTTCAAGGACGCCGACTCACTTTCGCAGCCACCACACCGGAGTTCTCAGACGCATACGTTGAGCCTCTGACAGCAAACGATCCGTACTGCCCACCTCTCAACGTCCGTTCACCTTGTTGTCGGCTGACCTGCGCTAACGAACATCCAGACTTCAACTCCAACAGAATACATAGCGACCAAGAACTCTGCAGACCTAGACGCATACGTCAGGCTGCTCCTTCATCCAGCTCACAGGTTGTTTTCCGCCGCTGCTTCACCGATATCGCCGGGTGTTTACCGCCAGGCGACACAAGTCACTCGACGCGTTTGTTGTGTATATTCTCAGCTGGGTAAAGCGGGCCTCATATCTCTGCCTGCTAGTCCACTGGTATCACGTCCCGCGTCGAAAATGAGTTTCATGTCGCGTCCCCAACGGGTCCGATAAATATTTACTTGACCATCATCAGCGGCGAACACGTGCTATGTATCAATTCTTCACTGCATCAACAGGACCAGGCTCCGATAATCATATAGCCGTAACACTAGACGTTTCCCTGCCACCTTCCCTCCCTATCACTCCCATTGCATCAATGGAGATTAACATGGCCAGGACAAGACGGACAACGAGCGAGCAAAGCAAAAAGAGGGACGCAGATAGAACCCCGTGGGAGCTCTCGGTGGACAGAAGCGGTGGAAGCTTTACTGACGACCCTGCCCAGCCGATGCACTCCCCCCCGCCTGGTTTGCTTACTTTCACAAATGAGTCTCCTCGGACCCCAATTCAACGGCATGCCGGATTGTTGGACCCAATGGACGCTGCGTCGGGACGGGGTGGTCTCTTAACTCGACATCTTGTCAGCACTCTATCCTCCAGTGCAAGAATGGCTCCGTTCCAAGTCAAGAAAGCTAACGCCCTCGAACCTTACCGGGTTTTTGCAGATCTAGACGTGGGTTGGATGCTGGAAGGTACGGCTATGCAGTTTATCGGGAGAAAGTAGATGTGGGGACTGTTCTGGCTGCTTTCTGCTAGTCTACGTAGTCAGTTTGGGTCAATAAAATACTAAGTAGTCGCTCGTGCAATCACATGGGCGTGAATATTGATTATGTAATGACCCGGCGTGACGATTCGACAATATTCTTAACAAAAACACCCTTCTTCCAGAACAGTGGCAGAACATGCCCAACCTTTTAGCTCATACAAGCCACAGCCACGGGCTGCGCACCACTCTTCATTCTTTTATTCCACTACGACTCCTTCGATTGGATGGCTCGGACGTCTAGAGGAGCCAAGGTATGGCCTATAATCTCATGTTTGCCCCATACTCAACTGCTCTCTTTCGCTAGGCTGCCTCACCTAAGTAAACGGTCCAGTATGCTCTCACTATGACTGAATTCTGTTCAGGAAAAAAGACCAGGGCTTGACATACCGCCAACGGGTTATTTGTCGCAAACTACATTCGCTCCATCAATTCACTCAAGAGGAAATTGCGATAGCGGTGGGCAGGCCTCTAATTACAGTACGGAGAGCCCTTAGAAATCGGTGCGACCTGCGTCCGAAAGCAAAGTATCAAAAGGCAGTCGACAATCTTTGCCACGACTCCCGCATTCTGCAGGGTAATATAGCCCTTTACGATGAAATACTCGTGCGTGATTTTAGTTTCAAGTTCAGCCTTTGGCACGGCTCATATCTGAATCACAGAAGAGAGCCCAGAGGAACAAAAACACAAACCTTCAGCGCGGTCGCTCTGCAAAAAACACGACAAGTTCAGCCAAGGGTAGTATATGACCCCCCTTGGTGCCTGCATCTCTCCGCCGGTTTCCCTGACCAACCATTCCTGTCAACCCGTTTTTGAGGAGCAATAGAGGCAAAGAACCAATTTTGCATGTCGTTACGACGCGATTTGCGAGGGGGTCGAGGCTGCCAAAAGTCAGCGTGATTTCCTTCTTTCCATAATCTGATCAACTTGTCTAGATGTCAATGGCCTATATTGACATTACTCTGCCCCTAATCCAACGTCAACGTGCACTAAACGAAACATACAATTGTGTCTGCGTGCTCTGCGGACAGGAAGGGAAGCGGGCAGATCCAAGAGAGTCTGTTTGGTGCTCCAAGCATGTGGTAGGTTGTGTGTCCCATGCCGACTGAAGGTAATTTTGCTGTTTTCGTCTACGACAACTTTTCAGTATTCGATAGATGACCCATTGTTCCAATGCGACTCCTGCAATACTGTGCTTCGCGCCACCGATGCAGTTTTGGACGCAACATGAGTTGGCCAGCAAGGGCTCGACAAGGCCCAATCTGTCCAATTTTCTGGTGAATATTGTGCTAGACATTCGCAGACCGTAACAAGTCCCAGCAGTTAAGAAGACGGTACGATACCTTTCAAATAAAATCAAATCACTCAATATCGCTGGCTTCAGCGGAGGAGTTTGACCCCGACCGTTTTATCGATGAACGACTTCAGAAGCATCTGGTCCCCAATCCATTCCAGTTTCTCCCGTATGTTGTCGACGCTGTTGCCAGCCCAAGCTTATAAACCTCATGTATAGCTTCAACGCTGTCACGGTACCACAGATCTGTCTTGGTCAACAATTTGCCTACAACGAGATGTCCTACGTGCTCGTTCGCCTCCTGCAACATTCCTCATCCATCAAACTGGATCCTGAGGCAGCACCACCGGCTGCGTGTGTACCAGAAAGTTGGAAGGGCCAGCCTGGGAGGAAAGGCATTGAGCTGTTTATATCTGAATCAAACTTGACCCTCCATGCAAAGGTATGCTTAGTTCTTTTGGGGTAGGATTTTTCTGTTGACATGAATGTAGGTGGTAGATATGTGGGTCAAGATGGGGCAAGTGTAGCAGCAGCAAAAATAAGTTGTTGTAATTTTTTCAATCCATAACCCTCTATAGCAACTCTATGGCAACAATTCTGTGATTGCTATGCTCAAAAAGTTCAACTCCACACCCTTCATTTTGCCTTCCCCACCGAATGAGTTTTCCACCGCAATCTTGACACGTTCCCGATTCTTCCAACCAGCCATGCCTTGAAAATACTTCATCTCAGTGAAGCCTTGTGCTTGGAGGAGCGGAATGTGGTGGGTGAAATCGAAGCCAACGATGTTGGCCAGGAATGATCGGACTTCTTCGTCAACAGCGTCGAGACTTTGAGCATTGGATGTTGAGACTGATTGCGAAGCCGGGACAATCTGGGATGCTCCAGAGCGCGCAAGTTCATGGGGCGGTACGGGCGAGCACGGGTCGCTCACGGACAATATGACGAATTGGGTTGAACCGTTCGATGACGCGGGTTTGTTGATTTCTAGCGACGCTGCTGGCAGGAATTTTGGCAGCAGTAAGACTGTTCACGCCGCTTCCACCTGCCGATGCCTCCGGCTCGATGTCATTCCGATTACCAGTACCGCCGTGACCAACTTGGACGCGCGACTTAACAGGCACTCTGTGAGTTGAGCGATCTCCATCTCCCTCAGAGTTTGTCTACATAGAACGTGATTTTGTGTTGTCACTGGCCTAATGTTCATACGCACTGCTGGAGGAAAAGCTTTCTTCCAGTCTTCACCGGCAGCGCCTAGGCATGCATAATCGTCGTCCTCGTCGCGAGTTGTGTAGTTATTATGGACGGCTTTGAAAATTTGATTGGAGTTAACACCCATGATGCTTGCAAGTTTTTGGTGGGTGTATGTCTCGGGATCGCTCCGGTAGACAATCCGGATGATGGCACGGTGCTGGCGATCGAGCCATGGTGTGCTCACGGGAATCTCAGAGGTGATTTGCTTGCTGGGGCGAACCCTGTGGACTCACCGCTTGCCTTCGTTACTTTTGGACCGGACTTTGTTGGATTTTCCGGCTTTACGAGCAAGAACATCGGCAATGGTCGGGTACGAGCGCCAGCTACCACTGAAGTTGCAGATTTTCGAGTCAACGGCCGCTGCCGCTTGTTGGACGGGGACGCCCTTGTTTGCTTTTTTCTCTTGGCTCCCTCGATTTTACCCTCGCTGCCGTCAACGTCGCGGTCAGATTCCGCCTCGTCCGAGTCCATCTTTAGGATCACAAAATGATGTTTTCAGGTGAAGACTTGCTAACAAAGGGCCGCGGTGCTTGAGCGTAGTGGTTATATGCCGAGTGACGATGACATACCGAATTTGTTCGAGGACGAGGTGGGGTGGAAGACGAAGACGAAATCAAACGATCGAATCGCGTGGATCCCGGCCAGATGCCGTGTCGGCGGCGAACACGGCACAGCTCACGCGACAGACCGATGGCCGATCACTTGGCGTTTCCGTCCATGTTGGCAGCCAAATCGGATTGCAAGCCACAAGGAAGCTCGCTCGAAGCCAAACGAAATCCGAGTCAGTCGCCGTCTGACGCGAGAAGGACATGAACTTGAAGCCGCCTTTTGGCATTGGGGTGGCCTCTTGTATCTGAGCGGTGAACGTTGACAATGCGCGCAAACCACGATTCCATCCGCATTAACATGCGGCTCGTTGGCTACTTGGTATCTTTGCCGCAATGGTGCAAAGGACTGAAGCACAAAGTATGTCGTCTTCCTCCCTTTCTCCCTGTCAACTCACTCTGCTCTAGTCACTATCAACTCGTTGCAAGTCGACAATCAAGTAATGCCCATTGGCATCGACGTTACTCCTCGCTTTTTGTGGAAAGTGGCTTCAAATGCTCGCAGTGCCATACTAGCAACACAAACCTCCCAGCGCCTCACTGTCTCTGCCACCGGCGCCGGGAAATCCGATGTTTGGGACTCTGGGGTTGTTACTTCTTCCACTCCATACCTCGCTCCATACGCTGCCAGTGGCCCCGCTCTTTCCTCCGACACTCAATATTTTTGGAGTGTTGCAGTTGTCTCGTCTGCAGGCTCTGCCTCTGCTCAATCGACGTTCACAACAGGTTTCCTTTCGCAAAATGACTGGGGTCCAGTACTTGGATCGGGGAAAATGCGCCTGCCCTTCCACAACGACCACTTACCCCTCTTTCTGCCGCCTCTTGGCGCGGCCAGTGGGACTGCACCTGGAACTGCTGCTTTCCGACGAGCATTCCCAATTTCCTCGAAAACTCCGCCGGCGGTCTCTGCGCAGATCGTCACAACAGGCGACGACCAGTTCACACTTTGGACTAATGGTGTCCAAGTTGGAACCTCGGGGAGTGCAGCAGACGTCTGGAAGAGTGCTGCGACCATTTCTGTGCCACCTGGTACTAGTACGACCACGGCCCCTGTTATTGTCAATGGGACGAATGTACTGCGTCCTCGCTGCGACAGCGACAAATGGTGGAACTAACAGCAATCCGGCAGGATTCTTGTTAACGGGCCTCATCGTATACTCGGATACTATCTCAAGCCTGTGTTTTCTACGCCGCAGGTGGATTTGCTGCCATTCAGCTCAACGGAAACCCCATATCTGACCATATCTTGAAGCCTGCTTTCACCAAATACAACACCCGACTACAATATGTCGCGGTCGATGTGAGGAACCTTCTTAACACAGGAAGCTTCAAGCAGTGCGTAGCTTTTCTAGATCGAGTCAAATCTTGGTCGTGAACATTTTTAGACGCCAATGCTTTTGGGGTTGAACGAGGTCGGTCGCGATATGGCATTACGCAGAGGCATATGGTGCTTAGTACTGATCGAAAACTACGATGGTGCATGTTGGCCTTGGCCATTTCATGTGTTTTGACCATGAATCTAGCGAGCTACGAAATTTTTGGCTGGAATACACCCGCATTCGACGACAGTAAATGGAGGGACTGCTCCGAAGGGTGTTCTGGTCAATGCGATACAACCCCCAACCAAGCTCGTCGGAAAACTTCTGCCAATAAAGATCACTCAGCCTGTCCCTGGGTTAGTGTTGTTCTTCTTCGTTGAGACCTTGTACTAATCTTGCCGTCAGGCAATATGTGGCTGGATCAAGCTCACCGTCACGAGTCCGAAAGGCAGCTTGGTGACCATCCATTACAGAGAGCTCGGCCTCCGTTTCGTTACATCACGACCAGACGTTCAAGTGCGCTGTGGTCGCGATATCGTCCGATTCTGCTGCGAGGTGGAGCCTGGCTTGAAACGGCTGGTAGTTTTTCCTCATTTTATGCCGATTTATCCTTGAATCTGTCATGTCAGGTTGGCGGTGTCAGATCCCAAGCTTTTTCTCAAGAAATACTCGAGATCTTGTTAGATTCCCATCGGCTTGTCAAAGTCCAAGGCCTGCGGCGCAGGGAGTCACTTGCACGCTGGGTACATATAGGTGACATGACCGGTATCGGTTACAGACAACCCAACGAGAATGCCTATGCGCGACACAGGGGGGAATCTATCCATGACATCGCAGCTCTCATGCGACAAGGCCTCGTTCGTCGTTGTTAATTGACTCTGCGAGCTTATATTAACCTTCCTCCCAGACCATCGACCTCCTAGTTCTTGCGGCCAAGTCCATCTTCTAAGGTGCTGAGAGTCAATATGTAACTCTGGCTGAGGAGGCAGAACTTGGCCGTTTGGGACGCTCTGGACTGACCAAATACATTTTGATGCCGATTTCGCAGGACACGTTCTTCATCAATGCTTGCAACTCATTCGGGAGAATTGTCGAGGCCACGATCTCAATTTTTGCGTATGTTGAGTACGGTATCGCCGTATCAACTGAACAAACACCGTCTGGTATGTGAGTCCTCATGCGCTACCTTCGAGATTCAAGCCATAGATGAAAGGTTGTTTGATGGTTGTTCGTGGCATTCAACTATCATGCCCATTCTTGAATCCATCTTCCACAAGACCCCGCTGGCGACGACAACCGGCAGCATGTCCCTTGCTTCAGCCTCAAGCGGCTTGAGTCGAGCCCCATGCAACTGGGCACGGTAGCCCAGGCCGGTGATTTTCCCAACCCTGGTGGAGGTTTTCACCGTTTGCGTCGAGTGCGTGGATTTTGAAATGGTCAAGGACTCTACTTTCTGGCATCTCGAACGCGTTGCGATAGTTTTCCAGAATGTGTCATTGATAACAAGTGTGAAATTCGATGACGTCTGACAATCATGATTGTGTGTGTTGCTCTCTACCCTCATCCTTGCTGCAGATTCCAGGTGACTCTTGTGCGAGGACTTTGACGACGGACTTCAATGTTATATAGGCTGCAGCGACTGTGTAGGACGCCCAGGCGAAGGGGTATAATGCGCGTGAGCTGCATCGGAACACAAACCCGCATAACTTCCTCTTTTCAGACCTGTCAAAGGCCCGCCAAGTTGAGGTCGCACTGATTGCATGTCTTCCCGCTACTTACTACAGTGCATTGAAATGAGCCTCTCCCCCCATCTTCGCTCTCAACGCTCTCTCTCTCTCTCTCGCCAGCCATGAATCCCAGTGAAGACAACTTGTCTGGCCACTCTCTTCCGCTTTCGGCTGAACTTGAACGATTCTTTCAAGATATCCTAAGTAATTTGGGCTTCTTACAGGCTACCCCGACGCCACCGGTCTCTCTGGGAAAGCGAAGGAGTGGTCCGCCTCGCAATTCGCACGTCTTCGTCCACCTTTCAGAACTGGTACTCAAAGGAGCTTTCAGAGCCAATCGTGGCGCCTACCAACAAATTGTTGACGCTGGAAAGTTTACTCCGCGTGGGGCGGATGCCTTTTGGGACATGCGACGGGTGCTGGAATATGGCTGTCTTCAATCCTTTGAAGACGCAGGGGTGGAACGTCTAAACGCTGTTCCAGCCAGGTGCGGAGTTGACCGTTTATTGGCAAAGAGTTGACCATTTGCATCTAGTAAATTTGCTGAGCACCATGCTCAAGTCTTTTCTACCATCCTGCCGCTTTGAAGTTTTGCCCGTTCTCCAATGTTGTGGTGCAGGAA